GACACTCTGGTGGGGCACCCTTGCGGAACACTCTTGTGGGACACGCTTGCCTAACACTCTTGTAGGACACTCTTGTCGGACACTCTGGTGGGGCACTCTTGCGGAACACTCTTGTGGGACTCTCTTGTGGGACACTCTTGTATGACAAAAGGGGCAGGCATTAATGTAGAGGGTTTTATTTTTCAAGATTTCTAGTGTACTGGCCTAACCCCTTTGCGGAATAGATGTGCAAAAAGATTAATAAAATATAATAAGAGATTCAAAAAAATTGACAAAAGAATATAAAAGAAATCAAGAGGAATCAAAAGACATTCAAAAGGACAAAATTTAGTAAATTAGTAACTTCAAAAGGGAATTCAAGATGCAAGTCCCAATGAACTCGAAGGGATTGCAAAATGCAATGCTATTGTTCGTACTATCTTTGCGCCTGCTTTGTCTGATGCGCTGGCTGTAAGGTACAATGTGTGTAGACTTGGCTAAAGTCGAAAAAAACATCTATACTAAAAAAGCTGTGTCCAGGCTGTGTATTTTCGACTTGTTGTTTATGATTTACCAGTGCAGGATATGAAGAACGTTATTACTGTATGGTATATGTGTTGCCTTGCCTTGAGTGTATCTTCTTTGTGTTTGTGACTCAAGGTCATGGGTGGTCCATATACATCCGTACGGATTGGAAACCGTACCCTTTTTTGCCTGTTCTCATGTCAAACTCATTGGTAGACGCAGCGCTTTGTCATGCGTTTTGCCTAAATAAAAAATGTCTTTTTCGCGACACCTCAAGTTGCCTGCTTTTTGTGTATCTAGCTGTCCCCAGTCAGGCTCCGTGCGCAAGTCTTTTTCATCGATGCCATTGTCGAGCAAATCAGCGGCGGCGCACCCATCCGACATGGAGCCGCTACAACTACGCAACAAACGCCAACTCAACACCAACAGTCACCAACAGAAAAGGACTTAGTTTATGTTTTTCGAAAAAGAAAACCTCAACCACACATTGCACCAAAGTGTGAACAACGAAAAACGAGTTTCTAACACCTGCTCCCAGTTTACCCAGCCACGATCTGAACCCAAACCTGTTTCGTGAACAAAAGCAACTCAAGGGTCAGAACAATCACGAGTTAAGCCGTCTACGTACTGTTCTAAAGAAAAAGGGCTGACGCACCACAAAGGAAGAAAACACAAAAACGAGGAGGACAAGGAACACCCGACAACCGAAACAACAAAACTAAAGCACACACCGTGGCTACGTCTTGAGCCTTCATGCTCATGAGACGTATGTGAAAACAAGAACGAAATTACAGCACCCCCCCCCCATGTTTTCTGTTTTTGGGCCCCCATTTACGCTATTGCTTCAACTTGGTTACAGTATCTTGCGATATGCTCTTACGCAATGCATTGACATGCCAGAACATTTGGCTCAAGGTATGTGCGTGTGAAAACAGCCGCTCGATCGCCTTCGCCCACTCGCTCTTGTGAACCTTGTTGGACTGTGAGTTGAATCCAGGGATACTATGCATTACATGCTCCACTGCGGGGAATTTGACCCTCACCCCACCCCCCCGCCCCCCCAACACCATGCGATGACATGACCAAGCGTCGTGGAGTCCAAAAATGTCAGAAAAGTGGGTCCGGTTTTCAGTCCCTAGGCATATACATATATTTTTTCTCGGACCTTTTCTAGATCAAAAGCTCCTCGGCCGTCTTGGCCTTGAACGTGAGTGGCAATTGCCTACTC